TTATTGTAGTGGACAAATGACTCTGAAAAAGAGTGCAGGGGCTCAAATGGCTGATTGCACCTGAGCGCTAACAGATTGCTAATGGAATTCTATAATCTTTTTAATGATTTCCCTAGTCAATGAAATGATAGGAATGACCACCCTGATGGGGGAACCCTGTAAAATATCTTTGGGTTCTTTTCTTTAAGGTCGGGATTAATGAGTGAGAGAGATGGTTTTTGTCTTCAGACTCAGTTGTTTATTTTTTCTTATTCATATTACATTCTCACAGACAGTGTGTCCATCTGCACACTAAGCTGGCACTCTAGAAAATGGAGCCCCAGGTATCTCTTTCCAAGGCTTTTAAGTATCAACTACCCAATTATGAAATGCCAACAAATTTATTTTTGCTTAAAACCCGATAACCAAACACCCATGTTCTGCACTGCAGATTTTTCTATTCAATCACACAATATTACCTAAAATCCATGAGGAAGGTGAAAGAACAAGGCAAGTTAACACCCTAAAACCTCCATCTTGTTGTGTACATATTACTATATTCTAAAACCTTAAAGTCTAAATTTTTCACCAAGTGATATAGGACACTTCTATTCAAACTACACAATCACAGTTTCAGCTCTATCTATTATTTGGAAGACTTTTTCATGGCCTCAAATCAAACACAGTGTTCTCTTGTGGATCTGTGTCTGTCAGGACAGAAAGCATAAAATCCTCTTGCCCAAAGTTCCAACAGAACCCTAAGTGTCAGTGGCAAAAGCACCTGGTAAAGGGAGGTGCTTTGTGCTGGCTCACCCTATTCCTCAGCTGCTTGGTGGTCACTTGTGGTGCTATAAAGCAGTAGAATCATCATTTAAAACCTGCACATGAGGGATCCTTGCAAGTGAAAAGGAGGAGAATCTCTTCTGATATTCACCCTCATGATCAGACATGATGTAATCACAGAACATCTCAAGTTGGAAGGGACTCATAAGGATCATCATGTCCAAATCCCTACTCCTCACAGGACTACCTCACACTAAACCATGAGAATGAGTGTGATCCAGACAGGCTTGGTGCCACTTCACACAGAAGAAACCTTGTAGATTAACATCTTTTAGTGTTCAGCAATACCTTTTATTTAAGTAAATATAAGGTAAAATTAGGAATGTATACATCCATAATGTGAAAATGTAAGTTACATGTTTGGTATTTTTTTTATCTGGGAACATACACAACATTTATTTAATTCTTTTGATAAAATATTTCCTTCAAATGTTTTCAGAAGACAGGAGAAATAAAAGTATATGGTTCTTCTAAGCCTTAGAATAATGTGTTTACATATCAAGGAATGTCTTTCACAGAAATCAGTATCTTTTCATTTCATCTGGGGACAAATAATATTAGACACTTGTTGGTTCTTGGCACTCTTAACACTCATTTGCAAAGGGAAACAAAAAATTTTACAGCATCTTCCAAGAAAGCCTATTATTAGAGCTTAATACTTAACTACATTTACTCACAAATGTTGCTTTGCTGTTGTCATTGTTGTGACTGCATCCAGGTAGTCATATAGTTTGGAGGAAATATGCAATTAAATTAATATCACTAAATTGTACTTGGTATATTTGCACCTGGCTAGGTACTGAAAAGCAAATCATTTGATTTTTCTTCAGAAAAGGGACACTCAGTTCCCTCTTGTGAACTTCTTGACTGTTAATAACCATCAGGAGTGATAGAGAGGGAGGCTGCTTCTAACTAAGAGGCTTCTGAGAAGTATATTGGGGCCAGAAGCATGGTAGACATCCTCATTTAGATTCCCATGCACATTCCAGAAAAGTGCCATTATCCCAGGGGTGGTTTGGGCTGGATTGAGGGCAAGAAGGCAGCACAAGGCAGAGGAGCTGGGACAGTGTGTTGTACATCTCTGAATGTGCCCCTCAAAGTGCTTCTCACTTCCCACTTCCACCAGGAGCCTGGGCACTCTGAACCAGGGGGCCAGGTCCCTGGGCAAAATGAGCTGTAGAAATTATTTTCTATTCCTTCTCCCCAGAGGCAGCTGCAGTCAGTGGATAATTGGTTGTACATGTACTTTCACCAGGAATTCTTTCCACGCCGAAACTGTATATAAAGTATTGATGAAAGCTTTCCCTCACAAACCATTTTTTCTGTCTGAAAAATGACTTCCTCTAAACATGCCCAGCTAACTCCATTGTGTATTTGTTAAAGACATGAATGCATATGCATTTTTGTTTTATTGTTATTAGACTTTTCTCTCTGTTGACCTTTATTCTGTGTCTGTCCTTATATCAGACTTGCAAAGACCATGTGATGTGAATATTTAAGTACCCTACCTAGAATGCATTAAAAGAGCCTGAATTCTGGGGCTGTGGTTTCCCAATATCAGTTCCATTTAGGAGTTTTGCAGTCCATTTGAGCTTTTCGGCAATGAGTCACCCTATCCATTTTTACACAGGCTGCAGCAAGATCATGAATTTTAATTTTTTCTAAATATCCCTGTGGATTTTAATTGCAGAGTAATAGGATATGATATTCTTTCTTCTGAAAGGTTTGTTCTTACACATCAACACTGATCACAGCCATCAGAATTCTTGTCCAAGAAACAATCATTTAAGCCTGGCCTTAGCTCTGTGGTCTCTGGATGAAAACCTGCTCAGGTGCACGGTTATGGCACCTTGTCTTTCATCTGCTTCTGCTGTGGGGAATCCCTGCCCACACTGAAGGGCAGTGGGAGAAGAACAGCTTTGGCAGAACAAAGCTCACTGAAAATTCTGGCATTTTGTGTTTCCTGACCCTGCTGATAGAACCCATTCTGCAGTGCTGCAGCTGGACACTGAACAGTCTGAGAGCATGGGTGGGTCACACTGCACAGCTGCCTACCTTCTGTCGCCCATCCTGGCTGCAGTTTGCCACCTGGGCCACGCACAGACATGAGGCTCCATGGCCAGGTGGCACAGGATGAGGTATCCCTGGGCAGAAAGGTCAGTCACTCCTGCCCGTGGGTCTGGGCAGGCAGAGAGCACACATGCAGCGAGCTGGAGCACGTCACGCTTGCTGGCAGCACTTCAACTCACAGAGTTAACTTTGCTCAAGAGAAAACTATGCCAGATTCTGGCCTTTGAAGATTTCGGTAAGCTTCTTTTTCAGGGAAAAAAGGTTGCCAACTGGGATTTTTCATGAGTTGACTGCTTTTCAAAGATCTTTGTGAAGGGGCTTGGTTAAGGGCATTGCTGGAGGAAACCAATTATAATTTTTAAATATGTTAGACTTAAATAAACATTTAATTAAAATAAGACCAGCTTTTTCAGCCATTGCCTGTCTTCTCCTGTTTGTAGAGTTGGGGAGTTCTGGGGAATTCCTGATACTACACATTTTTTGAGAGCATCAGCAAACTTCTCAAACTAACCTTCATTACTTCCTTTCCTTTCTCTTCCCTCCCTCCCTACCCTTTTCCTTAGACACTTTAACCTACTTTTTAGTCTCTCATTTTTCTGTTTTCCCCGATTTCTTGCAATTTCAAATTTTCTTCTAATCTTTTCCTCCTTGCCCATTTCTCCCTGGTCCCTTTTCCGTGCATTTTCTCCTCCAGTTCAACTGAACCTCACCACAAACCATGTTATCTCCATAACAACCCCTTCCTTATGATGGAGGAAAGTACCCTGGAACATAAGCTTTCAGCAGCTGGGAGCCAGGAGAGTATATGTGACATGACTTTTCATCTCCCACCTCAATCTGTATCATACTTCTTCAAAAGTCTGCCTACCTTTGGTGGCACAAAGAGATGTAGCTGGGCTAGCAAGAGGAAGAATGGAAAAAGAAGATGATTTCATCGCTTGAGCAGCTCCAAGCTACTGTATTTATTTATGGCATTATCAGCATTGTTATCACAACAGAGAATGCCGCATTAGATGCTGAGTGTGATTCTTTGCACTTATTAAAACCCATAAATATCTTTGGTAAAAGCAAAGGGAAAATATTTGCCACAGAGGATTTTCTTTCCAAATCATCCAGCTGATATTAGCTTGAGATGGGTTTAAAGTTCCCTCACCTGCCAAAATAATTTAATTCCAAACTGTCCTACTCTCTCTCTCTTACCTTTTTCTTTTCCCACTTTTCTTCAGTGACTTCCAGTGCTTAAGTGTGCCTGCTTGATAGGATACAATTAAGGAGCACCATACCTCATTGAGATAAACTCTAAACAGTATTTTCATCCCTATTTTGCTGAGAGACAGACATGGTCTTGTGCAGCAACTTTACACTGGCTGCTGTTGGACTGCTCTGGTTTCATCTGGAATGGAGTTAAGTTTCCTCCTAGTGATGTGTTTTGGATTCAGAATGAGAATAATGCTGATAAAATACTGATATTTTAGCTGTTGTTAAGCAGTTCTTACCGTAAGTCAAGGACTGTTCAGTTTCCCAGCCTCTGCCAGTGAGCAGGTGTGCAAGAAGATGGGAGGAGCATGGGCAGAACGGGTGACCTGACCTGGCCAAGGGGTTATTTCACACTCTAGGACATTTTGCTCAGTACCTAACCTGGGGTAGGGGGTGGCAGTGGAGCAGATTGCTACTGAAGGACAGGCTGGGCATTGGTCAGTGGGTGACCACCAACTGCATTGTGTGTCACTTGCTTCTCTCCATTGCAATTGCTGGTTTTGTTCTATTTGACTTTATTTCAATTATTAAACCATTCTTATCTAAGCCTGTGTGTTTTACCTTTTTCTGAATCTCCTCCTCACCTCACTGGGGTAGGGGGGGAGAGAATGAGTGTCTGTGTGATGTTTCATTGCCAATGGAATTAAGCCACAACAAAGACAGGCATTAACAAAATAAACCATTCTAATTTTTTTATATGGCCTCAACAACACACAAAAATACAGCTTAGCAAACATGGGAAGCAAATACATAGGATTACCATCTGCAAACAAATAATCAAAGTATAGTTTTAGCCTTTCCCACAAATTAGAGTGTTTTAGCCTTTCCCACAAATTAGCCCTATTTTAAAGTATGCAAAACATACAAAAAAATCCTGTATACTTTGCCTGTCGACCTTAACTTCTAGGCTTTCCTAACTTTTAAATATTTGCTCTTATAAATGTAGTTTACCACCAATCTCACCATTCTTATCCTTGTACTGTAATTAAGGTTTTGGAGACATTTTGCTTTACGTCTGTGGGTATTCTGTGAACTATCACTTTTTCACTTGTCAATTCATTCTTAAAAGCAGAAGTTCTTTTTAAATTTTCATAATGTAGAAAAGTTACTCCAGGGAGATTCAGCAGACTGACAATTCAGTGGCAGTCTAAATTAATCTGGATCAGGTGAGAAAGTGTTTTCAGAGTCACACCATGAATGCCAGCCTGCTTACAAATTCTGTTTCAGCTGTGAACAGACTGTTCAGGCTAGAGGCATTTCAAAAGGGAAGAAAACATTTAGATCCTACTAAAGATAAACAATTTCTAGGCATCAAGAAAAAATGTAAAATCACATTCAAAGTGACAAGTTCCTCTGCCAGTTAAAATTCTTGAATAAAACTGGAAAGATAAGCCTGGGTGGAGATCACATACCATGTTGTTAGTGTCATGGATTTGATAATGGTGCTCTGAATTTTGGAAAGCTAATAGTTGCTAGATTGGAGGTTTGGCTGCAGGCATCGTTCTCTTCATTTTCACACAAACAGAAAAATTCTGTAAAAAAACCCAAATTGATGATAATATTTTAGGAGACATACATGTAGCTATAATAAAAAAATCCCAAAATATTATAGTTCCCATTAATCTTCTCCACACCACAAGACAAACACTACCAGTTTCTACATAACTCCTGTCCCTCTGATAAGGATTAAATTGTGCCATCTGTTAAAATAAAAAATGTAGCATAATATAAAAGCTCATATAGAAAAAGATATGAAGCATAACTCCTGTTTTTCAGTTTCAAAGGTAAATTAATCTATAATCAACGTGGGAATTTTTGTCACATTCAGTTTTTCAGCCACTTCAATTTTCTCTGCTTTCTAGACACCATTAAAATACAGATTCAGTGTTCTATAAATGGAATTAAATTATTCATTATACCTATTAATATACATATGCATTACCTTGAATTGCACACACTGGTTATTACACAGTTCAGACAAATCACTAAATACTTAGAATATTGTATTATTTTTTCACCTATGGAAAATAATCCAATGCATGACATTTACCAAACTACAGAAATTTCATACACTAAGCATGTCTGAAGGAGTCTGCCCTGTCTGATCAAATCATCAAACTAATGATGCAACCATGTAAAATGTCTCCCTCTTGTTAAAGTTTTCGTCATATCTTAATAGGCATTTTATATGTCATGTCCATCATTTAGAGGAAAAAATTTCCATATAAGCTATGAAAAAAACCCAAAAACAACAAACTATTTATCTTGCATTTAGTTATACAGGTCTTCATCTCCTATCTACTTCTTGCTACTAAGAATTTGTGCATGTGAGCAAAGAATAACATCCTTGCACTATTTTTAAGACTCTAAACAATTTCCCCAGTGCAAGGAATTAATAGCCAGTGGGATTTGCTATATCTTGAAATATGCATAAAGACATAGAGCTTTATCTGAGAAATTAGACCTTGTATGCCATATGTTTTTCAGATTTTTATATCTTTCCATTTTGTTATAAAAGTTCATAGAATATTATACCCATCTCTGAGGACGTGTTTTATTTAGTTCTTAAGTGTCTGCATTCATATTTCACTTACAACACTTTCCAAAAATACTGCCTTCAGCAATCTGACAGCCAAAGCAGAGGGATGGCTCCAAGAATGGGAATTATGGGAGTTTTCTTTTACTCCCCCATAACTGCATTTCAGCTCTCATCAGTCAGGGGATATCCCTCCACCCCAGCCCCAAGATTTTTGATGCTTCTTGCAAAGTTGTAAATGACACTATTGTTTGTGAAACCGGATGGTTTACATGGTTTTAGTTAAGATGGCATTTAGATGGTGAACTCTGTGTTGTGAACTACAGAACTGTCTTTATCTATTAAAAGGTCCACTGGGTTGTCAAACCACAAAATTTGTGCTAAATTCTGACTGCTGGCAGAAAGGCATCTCAGTCAATGCTCATGTGACTAAGACTTTTGTCCTTAAAAGAAAAGGTGATGTTGGCTAAGTTTTGTCTCAGGCATGTGGAATCACTATTCCACTATTCCACTATTCCAGTGGCAGATGTTCTTGGCAATTGTTAAATGAGCTTCAGATGGTAGCTTAGAAGCTTGACCTTAAACATTTTTCTCCTTCAACCGTAATTTTTAAATGAAGAGATGTGTAGAGCTTGTTAAGTTTTTCTCCAGGATTTAGACTGAAGATAAAATGATGAGGCTCATCAAGAAGATGGATGATGATATTATCTTGTCTTGAATTCATCACAAGTGAAGTTTGACAGAATCATCTGTTCACCATTATCTATAAAAAGATTTTAAGGGAAAAGAAATAGCCCGGTAATTTTGTTCTTTTTAGACCTCTTAGAAACTAAAGAAAACCAATTTTCTGTTTGAATCTTTTATTCATTGTTTGATAAAATTTCATTTATTTATGCAGATTGTTTTCTGCTAGGCTGCTCAGGGTAAACCCTAACATGATGTGTTTATCCTAACAGAGGACAAATGACTCTGCTCTGAGATTTAAAGAACTCATGTAAAACTTCCTTTCTGCTCCAAAAGTTGATGTACATATTTTTAGATCATTTACTACTCTTATCACAGTAATCACCAGATAGTTTGTCAGAGATTGTAAGAAAGTTCATCTCCACAGGAAGCTTTATAATTTAGAAAATAACATCTTAAATCATCAAACTCTCCTGCCTGCTGCATTTATTTCCTACATGCAAGGTTAAAGGAGGATAACTCATTTTTCATTTCCTCATTAGAAAAGAAAACAACATGTCATTGCAGTAAAACTTCTGTATGCTACTTCACTACATGGGTACATGTAGTGAAGTGGGTGATTTTTGAATGCACAATAGACACATGCTGTAAAATCATAATCTGATTTAATTTTCTCCATTGATTTTGTTTTGCTCTGATGTACCCAAAATTCTACCATTTATACTGAAAATTGTACTCCAGAGTCACATTTCTTCCAGCAGAGAGCAGGTAAAATTCCGTCTCAGAAGGGCAGCAGGCTCAGGGCAGGAATTGAATCCTTTTGGGGCACAGGCACAATTTCAGAGCTGTGGGGCACAACTCAGCTGGGCTCTGCATACCCTGCTTCCTTCCCATGGATATGATGGTGGTGCAAGCAGACAGTATATATCAGATATATATCAATATATATCCATGTCTTCTCCCAAAGTAGCTTGAAAGCACAGTGGAGATGCATACATGGACAGGACTCTACATTAATAGTGCGTCTGGTAGTTTAGATATAGTCATAAAAACATCAGATATGGCCTGGACTTGCAGACCTCCTTGGATAGCTTGGTCTCCTTGCAGGGCAGGGTGAAGCACTTAGTGGATGAGAGGAGAACTGCAGATGTTGTCTACCTAAAACTTTGGTTTGAGCCTTGACGCTATTTCCCACAGGATTCTTCTGGAGAAACTGCTTGTTAATGGCTTGGATGAGGAATGCTTCAGTGAGTAAAAAAGCCATCTGGATGGCCAGGCCAGAGTGGTGATGAATGGAGTTAAATCCAGTTGGTGGCCAGTCACAAGTGGTGATCCCCAGTATTGGAGCCAGTGCTGTTTAATTACCATCAGTGAGCTCACAGAAAACATCAAGTTGGGTGGGAGTGCTGATGTGCTGGAGGTCAGGAGGGCTCCACAGCAAGATCTGGACAGGCTGGATTGATGGGCTGAGGTCAATTGTGTGAGGCTGAAAAGGCAAAATGTTGGATCCTGCACTTGGGTCACAACAACTCCAGACAGAGCTGCAGGCTGGGGGAAGAGTGGCTGGAAAATTGTCTGAAGTAAAAAGCCCTGGACTGACATCTAGATGGGCATGAGCCAGCATTGCTTTGGCCAAGAAATGCACGGGCTTTTATCAGAAGTAGTATGGCCAGCAGGACCAGGGCAGTGATTGTCCCCCTGTACTCAGCACTGGTGAGATCACACATTAAATTCTGTTCAATCCTCTCTACAAGAAAGATATTGAGGGGCTGGAGCATATCCAGAGTAGGGCAATGGAACTGGTGAAGGGTCTGGAGCCCCAGTCTTAGAAGGAGTGGCTGAGGGAGCTCGGTTCTGTAGCCTGGAGTAAAAGAGGATGAGGGAAGATCTCTACTCTCTCTACAACTACCAGAAAGAAGGTTGTAGTTAAGTGGGGGTAGGCTCTTCTCCCAGGTAACAAGAAATGGGACAAGGGGAAATGGCCTCCAGTCACTTCAAGAAAGGTTTAGACTGGATATTAGGAAATTTTTTTTCAATGCAAGATTTACCAAGCACTGGAACAGGTTGTTAAGGGCCTGAGATCTCTGAAGGTATTTAGAAATCTTAAAATATGGTGCTTAGGGATATGGTTTCATAGTGGACTTGACATTGCTAGGTTAACTGTTAGACTTGATGATTTTAAAGGTCTTTTCCAACTTAAATGATTTTATTATTCTATATCCTACTGCTTCAACCATTTTTGGCACCAGAACTTCAGAACGCAAATTAATGAACTTCAGAAGAAAGAAAGAACTTTAGAAGAAATTGGTCATAGCTTTGATCTATAGATAATTCAAGAAAATAAGATCTAATAACATATCTTATTAAAGCTGATGAATGTAATCAGTAGCTTTCAGCCTGACTGAATATTGAATATTCCTTTATATAGCAATAACTCAAAAAAGTAGGGAGTCATTGCTGAGGGTAACTGGAAATAAAGCCATGAGGCCAAAAAGGATTCCCTAAAGTTAATTACAAAACCGTTGGGCTGTGGTATTGATTTATGTAAAAGCCCATTCCTACATGTGCATCAGACAGGCAGGGGTACATTTCACTGAGGGAGTGACCCTGGGAGCAGGCAGAGAGGTTTGGGACAGTCCCAGGTGGCTGAAACAGGCCCCTTGGTGCCCATCATCCATGCTCATGACTTCAGGGAGCAAAGGTGGGCCCATTACACCCAAGCAGCACCTGGATGTAACCTTCAGGTAGAAGATTTTCTGGTCTTTGATGAGATATATGAAAAGTACAGTGAATTTAATCACAGTTCACTACAGACATTATTCTCATCATTGGGTTCAGACAAACAAAATTAACTCTTCTTTTCTGCCTTTTTTCCCCAGAGATACCATGAGGTGCAGGCTAAGGCTAGCTGACTGCAACAGTACAAGTGAGTGTGACACAAGTTTGGCTTGTGCAAAATGGAGAAAAAACAGTTTGTTTCTCTTTCAAGCTGCTGGAGAATGAAGTTTGTATATCAATAGTCATGATGAATTCATCTTGTGTAATTTGAAACCAGCCTGGTCCAAAATTGTCCAGAAGACTGTTAAAATCAATGTAACTATGGAGTGAATAATTAGAATTCAATCAACAGGGAAAGGTGCTGATTCTTAAGATAGAGAAATCAATATACAGCATGGCAGAAATCATAAATTATAATGACTGCATTCAGAAGGCAACCTGCTCTGTACTTTTAGGATTGAGAAATAATTACATCTTTTGCTCCCTCTGTGGGTATCCACCCAGTACACACAAAGCTCTCTCTACCTGTACTTA